TGCGTGTGTTAATATGTCTTCCAGGTTGCCCAGGAGATTATAGTCCGCCTGAGATTTTTGACTTTCCAGGAAAGTCAGGCTTCCAGCTTTATGGGATGGTATATAAACCTCATAACCTGCAGCCAGGCAGGAAACACCCAACTGTTCTCTTTGTGTATGGAGGCCCGCAGGTTTGTGGATCTTATTTCTGTGTTAGTGGTACTTTGAACCTGTTTTACTGTGTAAATTAAGACAAAAAAAGCCATTTAGGACCACAATCTGCATCTGTATGTGTATTTAGGTGCAGCTGGTGAACAACTCCTTCAAGGGGATGAAGTACCTCCGTCTGAACACGCTGGCCTCTCTAGGGTATGCTGTGGTTGTCATTGATGGGAGGGGTTCCTGTCAGAGGGGCCTTGAATTTGAAGGAGCGCTGAAAAACAAAATGGTAAAGTAAGATAAGATCAATTCAGTATGCGCATTTAAACAGTCTTGTAAGGTAACCATAAAAAGATCTCCAATTGCCAGGTTAAAAAAGACTTTAATTTGCCTTTGTCTCAGGGTCAGGTGGAGATTGAAGACCAGGTGGAGGGGCTGCAGTACGTGGCGGAGAAGTTCAACTTTGTGGACCTGAGCCGTGTTGCTATTCACGGCTGGTCCTATGGCGGTTTCCTCTCTCTCATGGGCCTCATCCAGCGACCCAATGTCTTCAAGGTTAGGAGGCTTTTTAGTACTTCAGCACTTCTTTTATCCTTTTTATTTTAACCCTTTAACCATGCACTCGCTTTCTAACAGTTAGCATTCTCTTCTGCCTCTTTTTGAAATAATTAAATATTACATAGTTTATATCTAGTGTCACTAATGTAGTCCACCTTAAACAGAATTCATTTCTGAATTCCTGAAGTATTGAGTCTCAAAACTAAACTTGTGATGTAGTTTCTCCTTACATCCACATGGTGTCGGTGTTGTACAATGTACTGGCTGATGTAGCCTTCATTCAGTTAGGAGATTTGCAGATATTTCCTGGTGGGCGAGAGGGATTGTGAGTTTAATTTTGTGTACCAGTGTGTTGGGGAAAGAGCCAGGCTCGTTGGCATGGCAGTCAGAGAGCATACTCAACTGTAGTGACAGTACTCCATCACACAATGTTAGTTTTAGCCAACTGAGCCATAACGTCAGAATCTACTGTAGAAAACCACCACCTGGCTCCTGTACCATATTTGGACCCCGATTATAACTGCTTGCCATTCTAGTTCATTCTTTATTTTACATTCTTTTTTCACCTGACTACATTGTGCTTCCCTGCTAGTTGGCTATTGCCGGTGCCCCGGTGACTGTGTGGATGGCCTACGACACCGGCTACACAGAGCGTTACATGGATGTGCCTGAGAACAACCAGCAGGGCTACGAGGAAGGCTCTGTGGCGCTGCACGTGGACAAGCTGCCCAGCGAGTCAGTACACACACTTATCTGAACACGCTATAACGCCTGTTTGCCTGAATTAGCAGTTCTGATTTTAGTGCTTGAAGCTTCTAAATTTTAAGATATTATTGCACCTAAAAGCAATACTGCATGTGCCGTCTAATCAGATAGATGTTTGTATGCGTTGCATTATGGCTGCAGGGTACTTTTTCTGTTTCCTGTCAAGTCATGCCTCAGTCAATCTCGTGTATGAACCAAAAACTTTATGACATGGTGATGGCATTGTTAAAACATTTATGTCTCGGGTCATCCTTGACCTAAAATGTGATCATGACATTTTGAATCGAAAGCAGTGCTTTAAGAAAATGTGTCCATGTCTGTGTAGCTAGTATTTTTTTTTAAATGCACTTTCAGGTCTGTTCATGTTTAGTGTACATGTTAGATCCTTCCACAGATACTTGAAAATCAAAAACAATTAGGGCTTCATCGTTTTTAAGATTTGAGGTGGCTGGCTAAGTCCAGCTTCAGTGTTTAGGAACATTTTCATGTACCAATCATAATGAAATCAGGAGTCTTTACTATTGGGCAACATGTGTTATTTCAAGAAGTGCAGTGTATGTCTTATAAATGGAAGCCTATAGTTTTTGAAACCATGTAATCCTTGTCATTCCAGGCCCAACCGTTTGCTGATTCTCCATGGATTTCTAGATGAGAATGTGCACTTTTTCCACACCAATTTCCTAGTGTCACAGATAATCCGTGCTGGGAAGCCCTACCAGCTTCAGGTTAGCATTGCAAACGTTATTCCACACAACGTAACACATCTTTCTGAAGTTTTGATATGAAATTTCTCTATACTAGGTTGATGAAATTTGCATACGTTTTCAGCATAAATGTTGATCTGTGAAGTACCCGAGTATGCTTTCTGCTCTCCATAAATATACCAAACCAACAAATAAATGTGTTAGGTATATTGGCTTAGACCACCGTAATCTTTAATGGTAGTAAAGTACAGTAGATGAACCAAATTCAGGATTGTATACTAAGAATGACACTTTCCAAAGCAGATTTTACAGGATACACATGTAATACACATCACTGTGTAATTTGGTTGCACCATTTCAATTTTCCAGGTATACCCCAACGAGCGACACAGTATTCGTTGCCCAGAGTCTGGAGAGCACTACGAGATAATGCTGCTGCACTTTCTACAACAATACCTCTAAAATGAGACAACAGAGGAGAAGTGAAGTCTAGTTCCCCCTCTGTCTTCCTTGACCCCTCCAGTACACTGCTCATCTTTACTCTCGCTGACCTCCTCACCCTATCCGTTCCCCCCATCGAGAGACTATCAGACACTCTGCAGCCACTAGCCACTCTCTCCTATGAACTAGTCACGTAACTTCCCCATTATACTTCCCACTTTCGCTCGCTTGTTCTGTTACTCACTTGCTCGCTGTGTCTCCTCCATGCCCTCCCCCCGGTGTACAGTCTGGGTTATGGTTTACGAGCACAGAGATTTGGTGTCTCACCCTGAAAGCTGAACAAAGACAAGGACATACGGAGGAATATTTGCAGGCTGTGTCACATTGACTCATCGCTCACCCACTTCCCCGTCTCTGCAACCATGATGGTTTTTGCCAAATGTTATCGTGTTGTTTTCCCCCTTGCTCCACCTGTTTTATTCATTTGAGTCAGTGGTAGGAATGGGGTTACAGTTCACACATATGAAATGGAATCTATATACATATTCGCAGACATGAGCTCAAACACTATATACACATCTAAAAGACAGTTTATCTCGTACGCAGACACTCACAAGCACACAAACACAGAATTGCAAAATCCATACATACAGGGAGTGTGCATCTTGCGGCCTGTGTAACGATGAAGAAAGGTAGAAAACCGAGACTCTTCCTCTGTGCACTTGTTTTAAGTGTGTGTTGTTTAAAATAAAACATTTTTATGTTGTTTTTTTTTATTCTTTTTTAATGAGTTCTGACAGAAGCCGCTCATTGATATTTTTGCGCCATTTTCTCCCGTCACATTACATTGCTCGAGATGTCTGCTTGCCTTCTTCAAACATAATTTATATTTGCCAAAGTACCTCTTGACTCTTGATCATGCTGGTATTTCCTTTTTTTACTGCAATAAAGACAACAGGAGGGTGAGCATTGGAGTCTTACAACAGCTTTGTACCACCAGAATACAATTTGTACATGATAATGAATAAATGTATGAATCAGTCACAAGCTCTGTTTTACTACAGTAGTCTTATTCAAGTAGTTACAAATAATGCATGTTACACAGGTGCAGCATGTGTTGCTCTGTTAGGTGCAAATGTGTTTTGCATATTAAAATCGACTTTAACACTTCATTATACTCCGCCTGATGTCCTATTCACATCAGAGCTGCACCTGACCAAAACGCAATATTGCTACAACAAGGGCTTTCAACCACTCCAAACCTTGCACAAGTGAATCAGCAGATGTTGGTCGTTTTGGCCACTTCCTCTGTGGGCAGCACAGTTGTCATGGTAATATTTTAATAGTGGTGTACTCCTCGGCGGTGAGTGATGCCTAACCTTGATCTGATAATGCCACAGAGGTGTGATAATGCAATCTGCTACCCTTATTTAAAATCACGGATTCTGTACAGAGGAATACTGCCCAGCCTCAGTGTGAAACATCACCAAGCAGGTGTCTAGCATTGCAGTGTTGAGGATTTTAACACAAGGTTTGTTGAGGTAGTCACCTGCCATGCTCCACATTGCAGCCAGGCACCAAGTCCCCACAGTTTTAAATCACCTATTGGTTGACAGCCAGGCATTGACTTTCATTGGCTGTACTGGCACCCTGAAGGGAAAGGTCAGACCACACTCTTATCAGATCAGCTGTTACAGAGGTTGATCCTGAACCATTTGTCAGTGCTCGAAGGATCATTGTGGATGAAGCACATTAACAGTAAGCCCATCAAGGAACTAGAAAGTGGTGCAATGAGAAATTCAAGCTGACACCTTGAAGCTCCTGAAGTTTGCTTCCACGTAATGTGATTAAGCTGCTAAAATCTAAGATATAAGACATCTGCCACGTGTGGTGCAATGAGATGGTTTAGATTTACTGTATGGGTTTGGTCCTGCAGGTGATTTCCAAAGAAAATCTCTAGCCAGACAGGTTTGGTTACATTGGTTTCATTCAGGGTTATTTTACAAATCTAAATATGCAGTCAATTTTAAATTGATGGAATACACGAAAAACAACTGTGAACATCTGTGAACAATGAGCATTCTGAAATGTCCTCTCAGTTAAACCACACACTAAACTAAAATGGACACTTTCTCCACCAGTAATGGCAAACACATTGAATGGAGCAGCATTTTTCCGTTTCAGGCTAATTAGCTTACATCTGGCATGATAAAATGTATCATGAAAGTACAGCTTGTGTATGTATTTAAGTATATCTATATCTCTTGACTGTAGTTGTGACCAGATTTTCACAATATTTGTTTGCATTGTTTTCAGTTTAGTGTTTTATGCTTGGATACTATAAGTTGTATTTGTTGCAGACTTATGCACACAATACATGGACAAAAGGCAATATTAGTTAAAATCAATTTTATTGACTCAATATGCCCATAAAATGGTTATTTTGTCTTAAAAAAAACTATTTTACAACTGGCAAATACAACAAAGACAATATAAATTACAAACAGGCAGCACCAGAAATATATATGTGTGTGTGTGTGTGTGTGTGTGTGTGTATATATATATATATATATATAGATACTTTACGGCATTTAAATAAGAAAAAGGAACATCTACAATAAAACTCTCAAGTCATGAGGATAACAGATAGTGTCACAACAAATCAGTAACAGACATTCCTTCATACACTATGTACAAAACCATGTCTCTCATCTTAAAAGAAGTCAATATGACTTATCAAAGCTTCCACAGAGAAATGAAAGTCAGTGAAGAATATTACATACATACATTAATTTGATTCAAAATTGCAGGCAGAAAATATATTGTACAAAAGGCTGAAATGGTTTTCAGTGCCTCATGAACTGCTCTCCGAAATCAGTTTCTGCATCGTAATCCTAGTTTACAGTGATTTATAACTTTACATAATGCTTTTCAACACTAATCTCAACATGTTCATGTGGAAAAGGATTTTTTTTAATTAAGTCACCATTTGGTCCACACCATTGGGTTTAAAAAGCTTGCTTAATCTGCCTGCATTTCACTCCTCCATGCGTTCTTTACAAAATAAGAGCAGTTCTTCTGTTTTTGTGCTGACAGTGCTGTTTACCTGCTACAAAACCACATTCAGACTCAACAAAAGCCCGCATACACAGTTGACACCACATGTCTGGTGATGAGTCTCGACTTGTTGGAAATCCTTTGTGGCTTACAGCACTGTGATGAGCTGGGACTCGCCCTGTGATGCTCTCCTCACTAGGGGCCCCTGCTTCATGCCAACAGGAGGAATAAACTGCAATGGTACAACATGTGAAAAATTTGCAACTGTACGTTTAAGTTTTGTCCATTTTTCCATCTGTGGCTGTAGGTGCAGGGCAGGAATCTACTTGTCTCACAGAGCACACTGCAGTGGAAACATGGAACTCATTTAATGTGAGGTCTTCTGGCTTCTCTTTCCTCGCAGGGAAACAACCAGGGAAAATGGAAAACTCTACCTCATCAACTGAGTACCAAAAAAAGAAAGAATAGTCCAAAATCTACTTCTTTCTCCCCCGTTCTCTTTGTCTCAACTTTTTCTTTGAGTCTCTTTTTATAGTTTATGACTTGTTTTCAATTGCAGCAGGGGCGATCATCATCACGCTGGACTTCAGAGGGTAATAGCGGCCCCTCCAGGTCTTCCAAAAGATGCCCTGCTTCCTCTGGTGCCGCTGCTTAGGAGGAGGGCTTTGGAAGTATCTACCATTTAAGTTGGAGCGTCCACAATTACTGAACCACCAGCCACCTAGGAAGAGAAAGGACAATAGCAGATTAGGTGCTGCCTTCAAGTTCTATCCCAAATTTGGAAAATAAACTGAGGCTTCTTATCAAGGTGACTTCCAATTAAAACGTACCTGAAAGGTGCTTGGCACAGTTGGTGTCATTTTTCTGGTCGTTGTCTTGGTCACGGGTGGAAAAAGGCAAGCCGGAGGTGGCGTCAGTCCCCAGAGAACTCTCCAAGGTGCTAAAAGCGTCGGTCTCCTGAATCTGGAGCGAGTATTTGGTTTCCTCGCCGCCCAGACTGAAGGGGAGGCGGAGAGACGCTAAATCATCACTCCAGTCGGAGACCTTGATGTTGAGGATGTAGCCACCATCTTTAGCAATGGAGTGGATCTTTTCTAGACCAAGCCAGAACTCTCCTGGAGAAGAAGACATAGAGAAGAAGAGAAATGGTGAGAAAACTACCCAGAGCTGAGGAACGTTTGCCTTTGTTCTATTTTAAGCTCGTCAGTGATAAGATGCTTTTGCAGGCCAGGTCCTTCTCTCTGCAGTGATAGTAAAAGACAGTAATACGATGTGCACTACTCTGATCTTAGCCAACTTGCCGGCTAGCTCTTGTCCTGTCCAGTTTTGCAATTACTGAGAGTGAAATCAAAGTCAAAAGAGCATTTACCATTCAGGCTGCCAAAGCCGTTCTCGTAGGCCTGCCATAGTTGATCAAAGTCCACTGAGCCATCTTGGCGCCTTTGGATCACTGTCCATCCACCCTCTAGACAGGAAGACGGAAAATGGTTGATCAGAAAAGATTGCATGAACCATAACAGCAGCTTCTTGTGCAGTTTGGAGACTGAACTATTTTTCTGTTTCAGTCAGTCACTGATTGTCTAAATAGTTAGTTAGCAATTGTTGGCCGTCCTGCACAAAGCAGGACACAAAGCACAAAATGGGAAGACATTTTACTACACATACCTGCTGAAATCTCACAGAAGACATTGAAGGGCTCTGCGTTTATTGGCTTGATGGTGTAGACCCCACTGGTGGTCTCTCCTCTCAGAAACAGCTCATGACAATCTGATGCCATTTCTAGGAGAAGAACAAAGTGGGGGGAAAAAACAACAATGTTGAGACAAACAGCTCTGTACAATGTTACTGCTATTTATACATTACACATTTAACAGACATTTTTGGCATCATCTTCATCCCACCGGAACTTTGCATTGTTATTGTGACAAACAGGTAAAACCAGTTTGTAAAATTGAAACTGAATGTTTTCTGGCTCACTGCCAAAGTCTTAAAATGTTTCTTGTTTTGAAGCAATTTTAAATACTATTTTGGCATGCATGCTTTTTTAAAAAGGGGCATTTGTGAATCCGAGCTTGTTTACTCCACCCAGCATCCATTAGTGGTCATTCAGAGTTAGGGAACCTCTCAGCGAAAGGTTTCTCTGCGCTGCAAGAGCCGACTGTTTGCAAATATGACTATCGTTTCAAGTGAGCTTATCAACAAGTCTGGAGATATAAATGTGTTCCCGATAAAGCCTTTGACTTAGCCTTAACAAGAGGGAGATGGTGAGTGAGAACTTCTTTCTCTGTTATAAATATGACCTTTCTCCCAGTTCCCAAGCAGATTTTCCTCTTTACGGCTGCTTGCCCTTCCAGGCTATTGAGTTACACACTACTACCCTTTACATTCCTCAGCCCCCTCCTCCCCGTCCCAGATCCCCCTCCTCTCTGGCTCGTCACACCTCCTTCACGTGCACAACAGCCAGTCGGTGACGCAGGGGTGCATGGCTGGTGCATGGCCAGTGCATGGCTGGTGCATGCTTGAGGAGTGATCAGAGGGTGCTGAAGGGGGAATAGGGACTGTGTTTGTAAAGGGCCAGGGGCAGTAACACAAAGCAGGGGAGCCAACTGGAGCTGCCATGTGCCTAATGAGGCACAAGACTAACAGCGCCTCTTCAATAATCCTTTTTACCATGAATGACATCATCACCTGACATCAAATATATTTAAAAAATGTCAATAAAATGTAACTTTTCGTTTTTTTATTATTATTTGTGGTCAGGGGTTCTCCTGAACTTTGGCACACTTCTTATTCCTTACAATGGGATAGAAGCAAGAGAGGGAGGTGGGGGGTTTGTGTGTAGGGATGGGGGAGGAGAGGTGAGGATGACTGAAGACGAGATGGAGGAGGAGGGGGTGGAAGGATGTCTGACTCCTTGACAGATCTAGGGGAAAGGTTGCTCATTATTGAGGGATATACAAATGTTTGTTTTACACAAAAAGGTGGGAAGTCTTAAAAGGGAGGTGGGATATCTGTACAAAGTTCACAGATAAATATAGACAGCCTTTTCCCATTTTCCCTCTGTTTTTTTTCTTGGCTCAGGCACAAGGACAGTAATCTGAGGAACCCTGCATGCTAGATTTGCACAAAGCCTCCCTTTGCCTTTTCCAGGTTCCCCTCTCTACCCCCTCCAACAACAGAAATGATCAGTGAGTAATCCCGTTGAGCTGTGTGACCCTGACTGAATGCTCTCAGAGACCAGCGAACTTTCCCCCAGTTGAAACCTTGCCAGACAAACTTGTCTCTTTTTTCCTTATTCCACAAATCCTGCTGATGTCAGAGCTCTGAGGTGTTATTGTGATTTGTACTGGCTGACTGGTGTTCACCTTTCACCTACTTCTGTGGCAATCGGAAACAG